TATGGACAAAGGACAGGAAGAGAATGACTCAGGGAAGTCAGTGTGTGATATAGGAATAGCTCAGATTTACAGTAAAATCCTTGCTCCACCATAGAATTAACTGGGTGACCTTAGACCCTTTGGTAACACTTATCTACATTTACCTCACAGGGCTGTTGTGAAGTTAAAAGTGGGAGGGAACCAGGCCCGTAGCCAGTATTCCCTCTAAGCTGAGTTAATGTGAGCTAGCTCACAGTCTTTTAGCCTCTGGCTCATACATTTTTGTCTCAGCTCAGGAAGGAGGGCTCCACAGCAAACTATGCAGCAGCCAAAGCTCCTGCTCACAACTTTAATGCCAGTAGCTCACAAAGTAGAATTTTTGCTCACAGGGCTCCATAGAAGAAGAAGAGAAGAAGAGATTGGATTTATACCCTGCCCTTCACTTGGAGTCTCAGAGTGGCTTACAAACTCCTTTCCCTTCCCCTCCCCACAACAGACACCCTGTGAGGTGGGTGGGGCTGAGAGAAATCTGACACAAACTGCTCTTTTTCAAGGACAGCTGTGCCAGAGCTTGTGACTGACCCAAGGTCACATCAGCAGGTGCAAGTGGAGGAGTGGGGAATCAAACCCGGTTCTCCCAGATTAGAGTCCGCACACTTAACCACTACACCAAACTGGTTCTAGCTTAGAGGGAACATTGCCCGTAGCTTTAACGGGGCATTTCGGGGCTCTGCTCCCTTAATTACAAGCCCCATCCCACAAATAGTCATGCCAGAAACCTTATTTTGGACCATGACCTAGGTGGTACTGGGCTAGCAGAAAGCAGGATTGTTGGAGATGTATTGAAGGTGTCCTTCTAATCTTTCTTGTCCCCTGGAAGGGAACTCAAAATTGCCTTCTGAAGGTAATGCCCTCTGAGCAATTTTTTCCCCTAGGAACTGACACACTTTCTGCCCTGTCCCTTGAAAGGAAGAAGAGAAGAAGAGGAGATTGGATTTATACCCCGCCCTTCACTACCCAGAGGAGTCTCAGAGGGGCTTACAAACTCCTTTCCCTTTCCCTCCCCACAACAGATACCTTGTGAGGTAGGTGGGGCTGAGAGAGCTCTGACAGAAACTGCTCTTTTTCAAGAACAGCTGTGCCAGAACTATGGCTTGCCCAAGGTTATCTAGCAGGTGCAAGTGGGGTGGGGAATCAAACCCAGTTCTCCCAGATTAGAGTCTGCGCACTTAACCACTACACCAAACCTGCTCTGTAAGGGCTAGAAACGATCTCAGAGCCTCCCCCTTTAAAGTCAAGCATTCAGATTAATTTATTAATTGTAGTTTAACTGCCTCCTTAAAAGGTTAAATGCCCCCTGGAGCCTGAACAACAAAAAAAAGTCCTGGCTGTTATGTCTTGAGAGACATAATGGTAAAAGCTTGAGCTACCATAGCTCATTATGCGGATTGCAAATACTGACCAATGGTGTGTATTCTGGAGGGAAGGTTTTTGATTGGACGTTATGTATTGATTGTAATTGGATGTAACAAACCCAATGTGATTGGTTGTTGTGAAACATTGTAGGTGTGGCTATCTCAGCCAGAATTGTATATAAGTTGTCATTTTGCCTATGGAACTTGTCTAGCTGGTCTAGCACCTACAAGGCTGAGCCTTCATGCTGTTATCACTTCAATAAAGCTGAATCACTTGTTGAACTGTTCCTCCGAGTTAAGTGTCATACTTAACATCTGGCGACGAGGATGGGATGTAGTGGGTAGGCAGCCCCACCATTCAGAACAATGGAGGAGGTTCAAGCAACTGGCGAGCCACCGACGGAGCAAGGCGCTCCTGTGACCCCCGAGAATGAACTCCAACAAGCAGTTTGAGCCGTTCGAGCCACTTTCGGAAGATTGGGACTCATACCTGACCCGGTTTGAGTTTTTCCTGGAGAACTGCCAAGTGACAGATGCAGCGAAGAAGCAAGCAGCCTTACTGTGTTCCTGTGGGAAAGAGGTGTTTGATATCGCCCGCTCGTTGGTTACACCTGCCGACATCAAGATGGTGCCGTATGCGACACTGACCGAAAAGTTGAAGGCCCACTTCTCGCCTCAACCGTCTGAAATCGCTTCACGACACACCTTCTATGAGCGATGGCAGGGTCCCTGGGAATCTGTGGCGGAGTTCGTGGCGGCACTTCGAAAGGCGGCCAGACCATGCAATTTTGAGAACCCGGAGAAGGCGTTACGTGACCGCGTAGTGTGCGGCCTGAGAGACGCGCAACAGTGTCTGTTTGCTCGCAAGGCCCTCATGTTCAAAGATGCGTTTGAGGCAGCCGTCGCCGCAGAAGCCGCGGAGAAATCAACAAGGGAGGTGCGACTACGCCCCGGTCCAGCAGAACCACGCGTTCATCACCAAGCAACCGGTGATGAGGCCGCGGAGGACGTGGATGACGTCAGAGAGGCTCACTCCAACCACCCACAGCGGACCGCAGCGAAGCCTGCGCAGAAATGGCCGTGCCTAGGCTGTGGCGGGAAGCACGAGGATGACACCTGTTGGGCCAAAGAGTTGCTCTGCCGTGCTTGCAGAAAGTTAAATGTCATACTTAACACTGGCTATGGGCCTGGAGGGGACCACATATACTGCCCTGAACTGGAGGAACGGTGGAGAGAGAAAAATAATAATAAATGACACAAAATGTTAGTAATTATGCAAATTTCCGTACTTTTTAAATGAGATACTGATTTTCTTGCATGGTAAAAGAAGGACGTGAGGCATAAACAAAGACAGTTGCTGGTGTGTGGTGTATGCTGTGACTCCTGTTTCTGCCAGTCTCAGAAGCCGTTCGAACAAAATATTGTTGATGTGGCGGCACCCTAACGGATTCATCATACAATAAAAGAAGCCAGGAGAGTGAGCCATTTCCTTGAGGCACGGCAGCATATATCAAGCCCCCCCCCCCCCGGAGGTTTTGAGATATTAATTTTATATTTCCTGTGGTAGACAGTAGACTCTTTTCTACTGCTACAGACAGACTAACACAACTACCCATCTTTACCTATGGTAGACAGTGCACATTTTCACCCATGGATATTATAAATGTTTACATCTTTAATTGCCACATGTTTCACTTCCAGAATGTTTCCTCAATTTAAGTGATCGACTTCTTTTAAGTTAGAATGACTGGTCTGCTTGTAACGGCAGGAAGAAATTCAACTGGTGCAGCTTCCGCCTCCATCCCTACAGGGAAAGAAAAATTATACTTCTGCAATTCCTACCCATCACACAACTATTCAAAGTGCAGGAATGGAGGGGGGGGAGAATGACAACCTTGTTTCTTGTGGGATTTCTGGTCAGGTTCAGAGGGGATTCCCTTCTGTTAGGTTTTATGTGTTATAGAGGGCTAGAAAGCCAGTGCGGTATCCCAGGGATGTGCAAATGTAAGTCTTGATGTGGTAGCTGGTATGGCAGTCGTACACACTCCATGGCTTGCAGAGAGCCACGGGCATAGCTTCCATCAACCCCAAAAGCAGGGTTGCCAGGTTACCCCTGGCTATTGGCAGGGGATCCAGTTTGGAGAACTCCTGGAGATTTGGGGATGGAGCCTGGGGAGGAAAGGGACCTCAGTGGGGTACAGTGCCATAGAATGCACCTGCCAAAGCATCAGTTTTCTTCAGGGGAACTGATGTCTGTAGTCCGGAAATGAGTTGTAATTCTGGGGGATCCCACTTGGAGGCTGGCATCTCCACCAAACAGCCACATTTTACTTCCATCCCTAGCACTAGGCCTGCATGCATCTCAAAGAGGTTTGCACCTTTACCCATTCATCCCCTGTAATTCCAGGAGATCTCCAGGTAGGGTTGCCAACCTCTAGGTGGGGACTGGAGATCTCCTGGGATTACAACAGATCGCCAGACCACATGAATTGCTTATTTATTTATTTAACACATTTATTTCACTTCCCCTGGAGAAAATGGCTGCTTTGGAAGGTGGACTTCATGGCATTAATATTCTACCAAAGTCCTTCCCCTCTCTAAACCCTACTCTCCCAGGCTCCACCTCAGATATCGAGGTTTTTCCGAACAATGTGTTGGCAACTCTCTAAGACTCCAGGCCCCATGGGGAGGTTGCTAATCCTACCTCATATGGTTGTTGTGAGGAGAGATATATGGGGTAAATTTGGGATGTACTAAAAGGAATGACAGAATTGCCCATTGGAAACAATGGGAGAGGCTTGAAGGCTCATTGGACATAATGGGAGCCAGGTTTTTTTGCCAATTGACTTGCATGAAATACATTATAGTACAAGAAGAGCTGGGAAAAAAAATGTGGAATGGATTTTCCATTAAAGTCTCTGGGCCCAAACAGACTACTTTAGGACTGGAATGACAGCCCCCCCCCTCCCAGAGTGGAATGAAAGCCCTTGGGAGTAGTGGAAGCATTCTGGGACTGGAATGACAGCCCCCAGAATGGAATGACAGCCCCTGGGAGTAGTGGAAGTGTTCTGGAACTGGGATGTCAGCCCCTGGAGTAGCTAAAGCATTCTAGGACTGGAGTGGCAGGTCCCAGAACAGTTCTGCTACTTCCAGGGGCTGTTATTCCACTCTGGGGCGCTGTACCTCATTGAGGTCCCTGTCCTCCCAAGGCTCCATCCCCAAATCTCCAGCAGTTTCCCAATCTGGATCTAGCCACTCTCCTTCTCCTCGCCCCCATCCCCTGCTGCTGGTTGCCAGGGGGTCCTGGCAACCATAATTCTGATCTGTCATGTAGACGGTTATAATGTTGTTGAGTATGTGTATGGAGTGCTTTTGTGCATACTGGGGTGTGTGTGTCCGTGTTCTTTATTTATTGCGCATTTTAACTCTTCGATTACGGAGAGGCTACGATCTCCGCCTTCTTCTGCAGCTGGTGACGGAAGTGAAGCCACCCCAGGCCGAGAGCCCCCGAATTATCCTTTCCTGTGTCGTTCCCTGAAGGCGCCGCGGCCGGAATTTTCCACTCTGGCGTCATCAGCCTCGGAAGCCCGCCTCCATAGTCCCAGCATGCAATTCGTTTGATCCAAAATGGCTGCCTCCATGCAACTCAATATGGTGAAAGCGGCTCTGCGGGTTTCTTTGCAGGTACCGGGGGGGGGGGGGGGGGGGGGGGAGCTAAGTTGCGTTTTGTGCGAGGGTGTAGGGTTAATGATAACAGCGTCTCTGTCTTTATTGATACTGTATTTTCTTAATTTTGTGCGTAATAACTGGCACAAAAACGTATGGAGTCACCTTAATGTATCACCCTCCCGACCCTCAGGATGGAGAGAGAATATAACAGTTTATGATAAATCAGGAGTTTAGGGGTACCTTAGAGGTGACCAAAATGTATTGTTATACAAATTTAGTGAAAGCTTCCAACGTGAACTTTCTCGAGTCGGAACTCACTGCAGATTATGTCGGAGTACTTGTAACACAGCTACTCATCTGGAATTATCTGCATAGGACTCCTCTCTGAAGGGCTGTTTTGTTTTCCAAAATTTTAAAGAAAAACTAAACAGGGAAGAACAAGGGGACTAAAGGAAAGGGGTATGTGAGAAGAAAGAAGTTGGGCATTGTTTTCCTATGGACACGTTTTGCTTTTAGTGAGGTCCTTGTTTTTTAAGCAATGTACAAGAGGGAATAATTTGGCAGCTGCAGCCTGTGTCATTTTGGAGATGGGATGGGGAAACTGTCCCTTGTTCAATTTCTGTCAGCAGAGCTGCAGATAAGCCCTATTCAATGTGGGGCTGCCATAAATGTCCCTATTTCATCTGAGAAGCACCTACTTTTGTCCTCTGTGGTCACATGTAAGTTGAAATGTACTGAAAGTGTACCTAACAGAACATGCTGGCCACTTCTACATATCCAGGTTGGCATGAAATTGTGAATTGGGACAATAAGGGATTGAGTTGTGTTTGAAATCTGTGTTTTTGATTTGTCTATTTTTTAAAAACTAAAATTCTCCAGGGTGTGGAATGTTTACTGAATCCTGCCCGCTTGGCTGCATCCTCTCTCATGATCCCAGTGAGAACAAAGAAGCGACATTGCATTCCACCTACTGCCAACTCAAAGTATTTGACACCAGAAGAATATAAGCGGCGTGCCAGGGCTGCGGGCATTGTAGTTCCTCATGAACGATTAGTACGCCCCATCAATATTTCTTGCACATGTAGGTAGTGGTGAACACTTGTTGTGGGGAAGGGTCAAATACTGAATTAGATTCTAGGGAATGGATCCCTGTAGATCATGGGCCTGAAATAAATCTCCTGTGTCCTTTTGAATGTCTTCTGGTCATCCTTAGCTTGTAGTGGCACGGCTCAAAAGAGTTTAGGTGGCTTTTTAAAATGAACCAAATATTTTATTTGTTGCTACACATACGACATGCTGCTTCTCCATGTGTAAGGGTTTGTTTCCACTCCAAAATGTAGGCTGGATTGTAAGGAATAGAAATGTTTTTTGACAGCGCTCTTTGTATTTTCCTTGTGGACCTATAGTGGATTTATACTGTCTGCACATTTTTCCTTATAACTCTAGAGATATTTTTTTTAAAGACCAGGGACTAGTTCATGATCGCAATAGATCATTTTGCTATTACCAGATATTTTAAGCCTGAGAAACCCCTCTGGTTGTAGGAGAGGGAATGGCAACCACAGAGTACTGAGGCTGGGAAGGTACAGAGAATCCTTTTGTGTGGATGGTCTGTTGTCACTGTGAATGCCTCTGCGCTCGCAGCAGCCACAAAAGCTACACAGAGAATTGTCGGTGTGGAAGCTGCCATAGACATAAGCCACAGTTCAGGTTCTTGTTGTTCCTAAATTCCTTGTAGGGTGTAGGATGTTGCCTCTGAATCAGAAATATGCTTCACTAGAAAAATGTGCAACAATGCTTTAATTACATCTCCCAGTCCTTCACGGTCTTTGATTTGAATCTTACATGTTTGGGGTGTGTGTTAACTGTTATAATCTTTGCTTTCTGTTTGGTCACGCAGCTGGGATCCTCGACCCTTATGTTCCTCCAGAAGGAGATGCTCGCATTTCATCTTTGTCGAAGGAGGGATTGAAGCAAAGGGTAGAACAGCTCAAGCAGAGTGTGGCTTCACAGTTGGCGTACGTACCCTGTGCGTCTCTGTGTGCCAGCCATTCAGCCTCTGGCATCCGTGACATACTGTTTCCCACCCAGCCCCACCCTGATCCTGTAGCTCTTCTTCAAAGAGCTCCTCTTTAACATTTACTCGGGACTGAAGACTGTTTCATCTCCGGAGGTGTGGACTGTAAATAATTGATCTTCACAATCAGGAAAAGCATATTGTACAGCCTCCTGGGACTGTACCACCTCAGGATGCAATGTTTGTGTGTGAGAATTTGACAGCTAAATATTTTCCATATCAAAACTTTCCTGATATAGCAAATTAGGATGTCATCTCTGAGAGCCAGCGTGGTGCAGTGGTTAAGAGCGGCAGACTCTTATCTGGAGAACTGGGTTTGATTCCCCACTCCTCCTCCACATGGGACCTGCTAGGTGTCCTTGGGCCAGTCGCAGTCCTCTCAGAATTCTCACAGCCCCACCTACCTCGCAAGGTGCCTGTTGTGGGGAGAGGAAGGTGATTGTAAGCCACTGGTAGACTTTGTAGGGTAGAGAAAAGCAGGGTATAAAAACCAGAGGCTAAGCTAGACCCCTTCCCTCTTGTATTCTGACCATCAGCAGGCAGAGGTTTTTGTAAACATGGGGGAAACGCTGAAAACATGTGATTCTTGCCACCTGCACTCTGAAATGGCATGGTCTTACAAGGGTTGTGCCGTATAATGAGCACTTAGAAATGTCCAACTGCCAAATGTTACCAGGGAAGCCATCAGGGAGAAGAGAGGCAACCGTCAAGTACCATTCCATTGTGTCTGAACTAGGAACTCACTATGAACCCTTATTCTGAGCAGTTTTTTGTATTGGTTTTTAATTTATATGTGTAACGATTTCTAATTGCTGTGAGCTCTTTTGGGAGGTAATTTTTGTCTGAAAAGGGCCGGGGAAATCACAAATTTTAGCTGGGTTCAAAGAAGGCGTCCAAATCACTACTAACAACTAGAGTAGAAACTGTTTTCTTTATTGGTTGATCAAGACCAAGGAAAGCACCTGCTCCTAAGAAAGTTCAAGACGCAGACAGCTTTGTAGACGAGACCATAGCATATATATAGGCGAATGGACATCAGGATCTTGTAGAACCTTTACGCCAGTTACACAATGACAACTCACTTCTGCACCAAATTGTAACCAATAGAAAAGCAATCTATGCTTCCTTCTTAACATACTTTAAAGAATACTACACCCTGACCTGGATAGCCCAGGCTAGCCAGATCTTGCCAGATGTCGGAAATTATGCTGGGTTGGCCCTGGCTAGTATTTGGATGGGAAACTTCCACAGAATACTGGGGTTGTGATGTGGAGGCAGGCAGTGGCAAACCACCTCTGGTCATCTCTTGCCTTGAAGACCCCACGGGGTAGCCATAGGTCAGTTGCGACTTGACACTACTTTCCTCCAACACCACAGCATAAGAATCACTGACAGCTATAGTTGAAGAGAACAGGCTATCGGTTAAAGGTTTGTTTACCCTATGAGGCGAGGAATGCAGACTTTTGGAGACTTCAGCTAAAAGCACAGATAACAGTGCTGGCTCATCACCGGACCAAACGTGCCCCTCAGTTCTTTACTTGACCTTCACAGAAGTGGCTCCGTTAGGGCTCATTCACATTTCAGCTTTTCCCCCATTTCAAAAGTGAGATGAAAATAACACAATGAATATACTCTGCATTCTAAAAGAAGCATCTGCAACCCTAAAATTGTCTTGCCAGATCAAACAAGAGGCCCGCCTGCTGTAACGGCTTAGATATTCTACTCACAGACAAGGTGTACTGTATGTCATCAACCTTTTTCTTTTGCCCCCACTACCTACTACTCAGAGATACACTGTCTTGGAACATTGGACATTCTGTTCCTGGCTTTCATGGTTAGTGCTGTTTTATAGGCCTATCCCCATGAATGACTTTAATCCTATTCCAAAAAAAAAAAAAACTTCTAAGAAAAAGAAGAGATTGGATTTATACCCTGCCCTTCACTAGGAGTCTCAGAGTGCCTTACAAACTCTTTTCCCTTCCCACAACAGACACCCTGTGAGGTAGGTGGAGCTGAGAGAACTGCTCTTTCAAGGACAGCTCTGAAAGAACTATGCGTTGCTCAAGGTCATCCAGCGGCTGCAAGTGGAGGCGTGGGGAATCAAACCCGGTTCTCCCAGATTAGAGTCCACACATTTAACCACTACACCAAAGTATGTGGCAATGAATTTTGCAAATCAACTACACATTGTATGAAGAAAATAATTATTTACTTAGATGTTTATACCCTGCTTTTTTCCCCAGTGGGGACACAAAGCAGTTTACAACATTGTTCCTGCACTCCTCCATTTTGATTTTTATCCTGTGAGGTAGGTTAGGCTGAGAGGGAGTGACTGGCCCAAGGCCACCCAGCAAGCCTCCATGGCAGTGTGGGGATTCAAACCTGGGTCTCCCACATCCTAGTCTGGTGCTCTGACCACTATACCATGCTGTCTCTTCCTTCTGTACCTCTAGAATTTGCTGCCGGTCAAGCAGCTCCTTAGGTCAGAAACACCTTCCTTCTATGCTTCCTGCTATGATCACAGAGGTCACCTTTCATTTTGTTTTGAAGTGTTTTTAACAGTAGAACAGTCTGAAGCCACTTGATTTCTTTTAAGACTGTCCCCCTGAATTGTTGTTTTTTCCCCCTTATCGCCTTTGAGGCATAAACTTCTTTACTTATCCTTACCTTCTTTTTCTTATCCTTACCTTTGCAGAATCCGGAAGATCAAAGATCACGTTCCTGATTTCAGCACCAAAATTTTTGCAGAAACAGCCCAGGAAATTTTTATTGACGCTCACAACAACTTGACAAAGTAAGGTTGGGGGATGGGAAGATTGCTCGTTGGGTTCTCACTGCTCCCCCTCCCCGTCCACTTGCATACGCAAATTTCCCACTAGTCCACAGTTGTCTTATTGGACTCAAGGGACTAAGGATATAATGATCATTGTATGTTGGTGTAGGCTTTTGGGTTTTTGTAAAACTGTTTAGCAGTATTGAAGAATCCTGTCAGCATTAGACGCTCATGCACCAGATTTGCAAGCCTTAAGATTAGCAAACTTAAATTGCCACTGCACTAACACAAAGATTTTTTTTGGGGGGGGGGGTGTTAATCGGCGCAAGATGTTTGACATGAGTTAGGTTGGGGGGGGTCACCCTGACTCGCAGCCACATGTGACTCAGATCCTCCCATGCCATTTTTTCGTAGTGGAAATGGCTTGGCTATGTTGGCTTCTACATGTGTTCAGCCGCACGTGGAGCCCAAGGTAGGGGCAAACAGGGCCAGTACTCAGCACAAATAGAACATAGGATGGGAGGGAAAACACATTGTGTGATGGAACCCTTTCCTGTGGTGAGACCTCTGATGGGGCGTGTGACTGTTATCGGCCAGGGGACACCCCCCCCAACTCTTGTCACCCATTTCATATAGATGAACTCTTAAGCTCTTTATCAGTCTTAACTATACATACTGACAGAAGACACATCAGGAAAGCATGCTCTGGAGGCAGCTTGGCAGATGTTGAAGCCTCTTCTG